TTGGAAAATTAACTATAATAAGCTATCTCGGTATCCTTTTTTTTTTTAATAGAACCTGGTCCGAGGGTTGAGAATGTCGTCGTTGAGAATGTCGTATCATCGACGTATAGCAGGCAGTTGATATTAGAGTGGATGAATGTGTTGCTCATAAATAAGAAGTGAAGATTTGAAGCTTGCAAACTCCCGAGACTGTTGAGCCAACACCACCTAGTGGGAGTCACCGGCGGATGCTTATCGCTGTGTTTCGGTTAAAACCGGAAAGTTCCCAGCCTAATGATAACGTATATAGGTAATCAATTGGTTTACAATTTATAGGCAAATCCAAGTTTGCCTTCCAAATCAAGCGAAAGACTGGATCGCGATACAATTAGCAGGGAAATCGAATTGGTGCATAATTAAACACGAACTTCGATTTTTCCGTCAAATGTAGCTGTAGAGCCGCTATGGACGGAAAGCACACCATCTCAGGCTGTCCAGAAATGCCGACGCATTTCAGACCTTAGGAAGTTGACCAAAAGCATGGCTTCCCCCGTAAAGCGTGCTTCTCCTGACGCGTACACCTGACGTGGGGAAACGCAACTTGGGAGAACAAACGTCATGACTTCACACTGAGCTCCTCCGTGCCACACAGCACAACCCACTTAGAATAACTATGGCGGCTGGATCGCGTTTTCGACTGGTGTCTTTAGCGTCCTATCCCGCCCATACATCCAAAATGGTCTCCAAGTGGCAACAATTGACGTCGCAGAAACCGGAGTGTCATGCTGTTGCCTGTCGCGATCCTGGCGGTTGGCCGTAGAAATGCTGGCGAAAAGCACGAGCGAACGCGAGTGGCGCTGTCGTCACGGCGTCCCAACTTTCGGCTGGTGTAGCTTCCGTGGACTGTCACAGTGGGGAGCGACCTGCAGCGGAACAGGCGTCTGCCGTTTATACCACAACTGTTGGACCGCCACCAGGTTCGCGACCGGCGACAGCATGACAGTTCTATGAAGTCATCAGGCGGAAATCGAAGGACCACTTTTTTGGCCGCGGTAAACACACCAGTCGGAGACGCGTTCCAGGCACCATAGAATAACCAAACGCATAACAGTATAGTAGGCAACCCTATTAGGCTATATGAGAAGAAAAATGTGGTTGCTTTCAGTGCGGGTATTTCGTTGAATTGTAGGAGGATATTGCAGACGTGTATCGCTGTTTGCGGGCTGTTCTCGTGAGACAAGTAGAAAATAAACGACATATACCGCTCTGAGGGACTCCTCCTGGACTCTGTTTAACATTAGGGACTTTTAGCAAACCATTACCGCGTCCCGTACTATCGTTGAAGCATGCTTTTAAGCGTGGGCTTGGGTGATACCGTGACCGTTGGGCACGCACTTCATAGGCTCCGGTAGTGTGGTACGCGAGGCCCGATAGAGACCCGTTCACACATTTGCAACCGAGTACGACCGAGAGAGAAGGCCTGTTGAAACATCTTAAAATTTCTTACGACGAGAGAGAACACACTGGTGCGCTGGCGCCATCTATGCGGTGACCCTAGAACTGCATTTCACAAGAGCGGAGGTTTTGCGGGATTTCCAATGTCAAATGTGCGTAATACCGATGAGAAAGACGTGTTTATAACGTTGACAAAAACTTTTCGAGCCAAGAAAAGATAGCATAAAGCGCGAGAGAAATAGAAAATATGCCGGACCGGCGAAGTTTCCACTGCTATTCAACGGATGGCGCCAGTGTGTCCTTTCGTCGTAAGAGATATTGGAGAGTTTTCGTAGATCGTTTCCGTTGTCCCGCAACGCTCTCCGCAACCAGCTACGCTAGCCGGAACTCTACAGTCGAGGCCATGGGCGCGCAGGCGCAGTAGCGGCTTCTTCGTTGCGGTGGGCTTAGCGGATGGGGAAACACGGTCTACGAAAACTCCCTATTAAGAGGTTCCAAGGCACTCTGTTCTAAGAAGTCACAAGTGTGTGAACGGGCCTTTACGGTTCACTAAAACTTTCTATTAGAGAGTTTTAGTGAACAGTTTTTGCACACCCGAAGCGGTACGATGGACCCTCCGGTACGAATTGCGCATGTGCAACCGCATAACACTCGCGCATGCGCAGCGCGTACCGGACGGTCCATCGTATCATATCGGATGGGCAAAAACGGTTCCCTAAAACCCACTATTCGGTCCAACCCCAGCCAACGCTACGATGTGACGAAGTCAATCAAGCAGATTTCATCGCCAACAGCGCTCGTCTTAACGCCCTTTGCTATCCCCGGATAAGCCAATCGAGCACAGTGAATGCGCCCTGATAGCACACTTCCTTCTGCGAGTGATTGGTTTCGCCGGTGATAGCGAACGCACAGGTGCAATTTTGACGCTGCCCGATTGACTACATCGGATCATGGCGTGGGCTGCACGGAGAATAAAATTAATACGATTTAAAATCGTGTTTTAAATCAAACTAGTTTCCCCATAACTAACCCCGAACCGTTCCCGAAAAAAAAAAAAGTAGTTTTAGCGAGTCGTTTTTACGCGAACGGTTCGTCCTCGAACGCATTGCCGACGCCACTGCGCATGCTCGCGCGCTTCGTTGGGGGTGTCGGGAGGCTCTTCTCGTTCGTTTCTCCCGTTCCGGCCGTTGGAGTCGTAAACGCAACGCAGCCAACACCGTTCACGACTCGCGTAAAAAAAAAAAAAAAAAAGAAAAGAAGATGATGGCGGCCGTTGATGATTGACTCCGCAGACCCAACCGTTAGGCGTTAGGCTTAGGATAGCCGCAGACGATTCGCCATCATATGTTACTCTGCTTCATTTGAACCAAATCGTTTCGAGGATTGCTCACAATGGTAAGCGATCGTGAATGCTGTAAACTAAGCATGCTAGTGAAAGTTTGCTATCTGCGGGCAGTCTAGCTGCCGTGGCGACCGCGAGCAGACGAAATGATTTGGCTCGACGGCGCACAACGTGAACGATCGTTCAATTTCAAGATGATAGAGACGCAGCGTCTCAACGACCTTTGCGGTCGTTGAGACACTTTCACTCTATCAAGTTTCGCAGGTCGTGCAATTTCGACCGGTAAATGTTACGTCGGCCATCTAGTCTCCAACAGTCGTACACCGGAAACACGAGACGCCGCGGAATTGCAAGCTGCAGAATGTTTCACATATTTACTAAAAGATGGCGCTGCCCGTCCAACGCAATTGTCACTCTCGTTTACACGGTTGCGCCATGTTCACGATTAGCTAAAAGATGTAAAATTTCACATACCGTTTCACAGAACGGACCAGCTGGACCATTCAAGATTTCAAAACCGTGGGCTCCAGAAACGACTCGCTAAAACTCTCTAATCCCGAAAATATATTCTGCCTACCGTTTGTCTATCATTTGATGCCTTATTTCTGCGATTGTATTTAAATCATAGAACAATCAAGCAAGGAAGATTTTGATAAAGCTGAACACGAGCTGAAACAAGTGTTTCGAGAAAATAAGAGCGTTGAGCTTCATTTCTACCCTTGTACTTCGTTCGTCAGCTAGGTAACGTCCTATTGTAACAAAATCAGAAGAAAAAAAATAACGTCGTCTACCAATCAAGTCAGAGCTCAACAGAATAAAGTTATTTTTTAACGAACTTTTAAAGTAAGCTGCTTTTGTTCTAGTATGGCGAGGATTACAGCAATAAAAATTAGTTAATCAAACTTTATATTTACAGTCATTCTTTGTTCCGCACTGCTATCGGTGATCGAATGTGTCGAAAACTACACCCGGAGGTAAAGAATCGCTATTTTTAGATACAGTGGTTAAGATCAAATTAATCCGATTTAAATCAAATAACCCAGATTTAAATCCCAGCCGAATTCTGACGCGGCACTCCAGCCCAGTCTTTGTCCCGCGTTGTCATTTGGGTGACGCCGAAAGCTGTGTGTGCAACTTTCATCACGCTTCGTTATCACAAACAGAACAAAACACAACATATCTGCAAAAAAAAGAAAAAGGCGGCGCATGCACAAGGTCGCCAACAAAAACTCTTCCGCTTTTTGTCTTTGAAAAAAAAAAAAAAAACTTTGGTGTTTATTACTTTAGAGTGACTTCAGAGGTGTCTAAACGGCACCGCCTCGCCACGGAGTCCGTGCGTGGAAGATTCGCTCCCACTGCGGACAAACGCCGCGAGATGGCGCAACGTGGCAGGAGCTCGCGAGGAACCGCCCTTATTGGCGCGCATATTTTCAAGGCCACAAGGTGTGCGACCGCGCCCAAGTGCAACTCTGAGCCTCCCTTTCTAGCCTTGTTCTGACGTATTTTTCCTCCTCCACCGGTGACAAGGCCATAGCCGGTGACAAGACCACAGTGGAGACTGAAAAGTTGTTTGTGGGCACACAAAATAAAGAATTATTAATATTATGTTATTATTATAGAAGATACATTGCGGTTCCTAGCGCCGAAAAAAGCCGCAGTTGTATATTATTCCTGAGAAATATCGCCAAAACCCATCACAAGCATAATATAAGAAAAACAAATTTTTAATTGATTTCATGTTGAGTATAAAGCCTTTACACAAACAAAGTGTATACGGACATGAACTATACTTTGGTGGTGTATTAGTCTGAAAACTCACGAACCAGAGCATAAAGAGTGGACGTGCGAGATGAATTTATTACATAAATAACGGGAAGAACACGAAACCCAAGGACAGACAAGACGATCTCTTGGCCGTCTTTGCGTTTTCTCTTCTTCCCCTTATTTATATTATCATTATCAGCATGCTCTTCCTCTTCTTTATATTATCCTTATCAGCACACATTTCAATTACAACTGATCACTTTCTTTTTTCTTTTGAAGTCAGATGCTTATCAGTGTTCTCCAATTACCGTGTTAATTACCGCAACTATAGGAAGTATTCACCGGCGGCCATAGCTGTGTGCGCGACCGCTGAGCGCGTGCTGATAGCTAGCTTCCAGGGTTCTTTTGCAACGTGCATTCCACACCGTCAAAATGGCCGGTCTTAGCAGCCTATTAATGGGGGCTCGTTCTGAGCATGCGCTCTAGACAGCACCCACAAATATGGCGCCCAGTGAATACTCCCTATAGCACTGCACAGGATCAGAACGGCAAGGCGTCACATTCCAATGCCTGGACTCCAGCAAGCGCTCGCTGCTCCACGCCGTGCTTCGGCTCCGCGTGCCACGAGGCTCACAAGACGCCCAAGCATTATCGAAGGAAGGAAGCTTGCGCTGGAAATGAAACAGCTGGAGGAACTCCTTAGCTGCTGTTCTCATCCTGCCAGTGACCATAGGTGCTCGCTGCTGCGTTATGCGACACACAGCGGTAAAGAGAACAACGCAAAACGCAGAGGGAGAAGTAGGCTGGCACACAGAACAACACCGTCCTCAGTCACCATCATTATAACCATCTAATAATTCTGTAATAATTAATAATTAGTATCAAAATCATATCGGTATCCATAAGCCCAAAAGGTCAGGTGCAACCGTCAGAAAACTCGACTCGTGTAAGAAAGCGACAGCATATAGTGCAACCTTAAAAATCAGCTCGAAACCTCAGGGCTTTTCGAGAAATGGACCAACATGCGCCGCCACCAGGTCGGGACGATTCATGTGCACATGGTGGTTCCCTTCCACGCAAGCCATCTCGAAGCTCTTACAGTTCTTTCTACATATATCAGCAACCAGCCTCTGACAGGTCACGCTGTAGCCCAAGCCCGGCAAAGCATGCAACACGAACATGTCGTTCGTGTAGCCCTTCATATAATCCTCGATCTCGGCTCGATCCACCCTGGTCCAGAAGGAGGCCTTGGTGCGTGCGTCCCTGGTGAAGAAGAATCGGCCATCTCCCGTTCGCCTGCCGCCACGCTGCATCAGCACCTCCACGTCTCGTGGAAAATACTGGAACCCCGCCTTGGCGTAGAGCTGGACTATCTCGTCGACGGTGTAGCAGGACTGACTTCCGGTGTCCCTGTCGTCGAGGCGCAGAGATTCCAGGGTGAGGCCTCTAGTCCTTTCGAGGACAGTGCTCGATCGCTCAAAGTGATGGCCGAAGGCGTCAAGAAGGACAAGTTTTCTTACCTGGAAAGCGGAACGGGAGGACAAATGCTGATGATCAAACGCTCACGCAAGGCCAAGGAAACCTGACGACGGTAACAGGACAAAGGAAACGATGTGTCCCGCCTTGCCGCTTCTTATGTAGGTAAACGCTTATAATCGGATTTAATAAATTCTACAACACAGGAGGTGGGAACCCTAGGTTCCCCTTCGGAATCACTTGCCAATAGCCATTCTGGCAAGAAGCCTACATACAAAGCAACTTATTTCACATTAAGCGTGCACTAGTCTTACTCTCAGGCCAAGTCCAAAGCTAAAGTGTCCATGGAAGAAACGTTTACAGATATCAGAATATAGTGTGCAACAGAGGGAGTCTCAAGCTGGCATTTAAGGTAAGCTTTGTTACAGCTTTTCAAAGCTACAGCTCAGAATAATGCAAACTTAATCGCCACTATTTTCCGGACGAGAATTGCCAATATTACCCCAGTTTCCATCCTATCACCAATACGTCCTAAATAACCTTTCATTTGAGACTGATAACTGTATGCTCCATCTTACGTAGTTCTGTGCAGCGTTACAAAAGGAACGAACATAAGTGCGTGCCTTTAGTATACGCCTTCCCCGCATGTGACAATAAGTATATTAATGGTAACAAAGCTGTTAGCACAGCTGTGGTGCCAGGAGCGCTCCTCTAACTGATGTGTTTACCGCATCCTCAAATGCAGTCCATCGATTACTGCCCAATGACGTCATTAAAGTGTCATGCCGTTGTCTCCCTCGATTCTGGCGGTGGCAGAGCAACGGACGTGCATAGATGCCGCAGGCGCCCGTTCTGCTGCAGATCGCTCTGCAGCTTGACTCCAGAGAAGCTTCAGCAGCCAAGAGTTGGGACGCAGCCTTTACAGCGACACTCAAGTTCCCTCATTCTTTTTGCCCGGACCTCAGCACGAACCACACGGATCGCTTCATACGACAGCGTGACACGCCGACTCCTTCGGAACCATATTTAGCACAAGGGGCGATACAGAACGCCAAACGCACCAGTCAAAGACGCGTTGCAGACACCTTAGCACAGATGCACTCGCGCATGTGGGCCTTTGGTGACGCTGCATAAAACTTGCCAAAACAGAATGAATGCTTCGTAAGCTTCAGTGCCACTCGGTCGTCTAGTTCCAAGCTCTGCCGCAACCGAAACGCCCAATGCTCCAACCCACCTGATCGCCGAACAGATTTGCGTGGTGGTGAGCGATGAGCGCGCCCAGGCTGTGACCCATCAGGCAGAACCGTTCCCACCCAAGAAACCGAAGCGCCCTGATGACGTCGCAGGTGAAGTGAAAAAATGTGTAGACGCAACCTCTGGGGAGGTGCGTGGACAGCCCGTGGCCCGTGAGATCCAGCGCCACGGCGTGCCACCGCGGGTCCAACTCGGCCAGAAGCGCGTCGAAGCTCCCGGCGTTGTCCTGGTGGCCATGGAGGCAGAGCAGGCGGCGATTCGGGTCCTCGTTAGGCCTAGGCAGCCATTCCTTGGCAGCTAGATGGCCGTAGGGGACAGGAATCTTGAGTTCGGCAGTTGGGCGCGCGCCGAGCTTGTGGGAGCTGGAAACGTGCAGCTTCCGCGGCTCTGGCAGGAAGCCGTACCTGTCATGGAAGATTAAAAGTAAATATAGGTCATTTGTTCGTATATTTTTTCTGGTGCGTGAGAGCATAGGTCGGCATTTCCGAACCCACTCACTCACCATCACATCACTAATTACAGCAACATCCAAAAGTCACAGGTCTTCACAGCACAAAGTACATCGACGTCCAAAAGTCACAGCCTTTCACATCACAGAGTACACCGACGTCCAAACGTCACATCCCTTCACATCACAGAGTACACTGACGTCCAAACGTCACATCCCTTCACATCACAGAGTACACCGATGTCTAATATTCATGGCCCTTCACATCACAAAGTACACCGACGTCCAAAAGTCACGGCCATTCACATCACGGAGTTCAACCGGACAACAAACTCATCCCCATCACGTCACCGCAATCTCTGAACTCACAAAGTCATTCACTGTCACTTCACGAATCCGTCAAGTTCACGAAGTACTTCACCGTCACATCACGAATCCTATAGAGTTCATGAAGCATTTCCCATCCCATCACCGCCAACTCTGAATTCACGAAGTCGCTCACCGTCCCATCACGAGCTCATCGAGTTCAGCAAGTCGTTCCCCTCACGTCCGTGAACCGATCCCGTTCATGAAGTCGTTCGACCGGTTCGACTTCACGGCCCTTCACCGAGTCACGGCCCTCCACCGAGTCACAGCCGTTCACCGAGTCACAGCCGTTCACCGAGTCACCGAGGTCACGGAAAGCGGCGTTGGCCCCTGCAGCCGCGGCCACCGCCACTGCCTCCGGCTCTCAGCCATCCTCGAAGTTCTTTCGCAGCGGCGCTGACGGCTCCAGATGTGTGTCAGTGTGCGTCTGTGTGTGTGTGTGTGTGTGTGGTGGTGGGGGGGTATTGGGCTGTGCCGGGCGAGTCGCGACGCACCCTGCTCTTGTCATTTTGTTTGTTTAGCTAGTTCCCTCTGGGCTTTTAGTTTTGTTGTCCAGTTTCTTTTATTTTCGTTTTGTTTCGCGCTTTCTTCATCATGCGCGCATGCTGCGGCTTCTTGACTTCCCTGCTCCGAACTTGTGAGATAAGGTGCTTGTTTCCGGGAGAGTTATAAGCCCCACAGATGCCCAGAACCAAAATGGCTGCTGGTTTGTCGGCGAGCGGTATTACAAAGGGTGGCATTAGAGTGCCTTCATGTGCGCTTCGCTTCGCAAAGCGCACATGAAGCCTCCGTAGGTGGCATCACCCTAGCAAAGCGCACATGAAGGCTCCCTAGACTTCGCCTGGTTGTCGGCGTTGTGATTGTGGAGGGGACCCCACCTCAAAATCTTCTGGCCTGTCTTTTTTTTTATTTAATTATTTTTTTTTTTTTTACTTTCTTTGCGCACGGTTTTTTCTACGAAAAAAAAAGAAGGCGCTTATATTTTTGCCAACGACCGCTCGCCGAGGGGGCAAAAAGGAGAGACAGACACGAACATGCGTGCACGATTTTGTGAAACATCTTACAAACATTAATACAAGTCCATATCATATGAACGAAGACGTTTTAGCGAATTAAATTTTAGCGAATAGAGATCACATACGCGAGTCGACGTTTAGGCATTTGTAGGGGCGGCAAACTGGGCATCCAAACAGACCGCGCCAGGCGGTCTGTTCGGAACGATAGCAAGGGGTGCTTTGCTATAGTTTGGGGAAAATAATATGAACTCAAGCTCGAGCGTCCATCGCCAAAGGTTCGGCAAGCTCGAAAACAGGACGGCGGCGGCCTCCATTTTATCTATTCTGTCAAATGAACGCCGCCATTCGCTGAAGTGTCATTCGATGAAACGTCGTGGGCCAGGTTTCGCTGGCTAAACCGTCGTTCGATCAGTACAAAATTGTTTTGTGTGTTTTATCTTAATAATTATGATCTATGGCAACCAGCCGATCTTTGCCTACCTCACTTTACGTCGTAAAATAGCGCGATGATGTCACTTTCATAAGAGATACCATAATAACGCTATACTTCACAACCGACCGCTGAATCACCCGTCTAATATTTTTTTAACGGATTTCATCATGTATATATTAATAAAGTAGACATTCCAAAACAAGAGTTATCCATTCCCAAAAATTTCAGTGGACTGGAACTACCTTCCCACATCTTACTAGTTACTATATGTTTAAAATTGCCGTAAATAATCTATACAGCTCAGACTGAGCTCCAAAGTGTATAGCTTTGTTCTGTTCTCTTCTAACTCCCGCTCACCTCTGTAATGTCGATGGCCCTGAGGGTATGTCAGTTAAACAAATAAATAAAAAAGTAAGTGCCTCCCCTGAAAAACCTCTTAAAGAGGCGACCTGCAGCTTGCCGAAGCAATGAAATTTGTGTTTTATTCGAACCCGTTGGTCCGAGTACACCTCATCATTAATTAAACCACTCATTGGATCATTCACCTCAAAGCAATATGTTTACTTCTGAGCGTGTTCGTGTCGCTCAACCTACTTTGAGCTCAGATGCAGTCGAGATAACTAATGATGGCGGTGGACTCCACTTTTCTCAGCTTTGAACCGAGGCGAGGTGCGCGATTCGCGCGCGCCTCGCGCTCGTTGTTTTACGCCGGGGTTTGGCTGCGCATAGACTCGTATTATAGGTAGCGCGTACTGTGTTTTCGGAGCTCATTTTTGAATAGAATCGGAGCGTGTTTTTCGGAGTTTATTTTGTAGCGTAGGCTACACTGGCCGAGGTTGAGCAGTTTCGCGTGGCTTCTGGCGAGCCGTGCTGCGTGTGCGCGAGGAGCAGTGACGTCACACGTGTCAGTCCCCGATGCACGCGCCGCGCGCATGGACCCGCTCGAGATCATAGCTCGCACTGTCCGGTTGTTCTGGGCAGCAGCTTGGTTGCTTGATACATAACACGGCGCACAGCTGGCCAAACTAGGGTGCCTCAATGTCCTTCTGTTTAGGGTGATGCCACCCTTTGTAGTAGCCGATGCCGACAGCACGCGCTCACGGGGAAGATAGAAAGAAATCGACGAAAACAAAATGTCGCCATAGCACAGTCAGCGCCACAAACGCGCGCAGGGACACGCTCTTTCACGCGCTTCTGAACAAGAAAAAAAAATAAAAGTGTGGGACAAAATGGCGAGATGCCACCACCCTAAGCAGAGCGCACATGAAGGCACCCTAGGCCAAACCAACGACGGGCATCTGGCACGCCCCAGCGGAGGATTAATTTGGACCATCTGGGGATCTTTTGACGTGCAACCGAAGGCTCGGTTACACGGCGCCTCCTCCGCAATAAGAAGAGCAGAGAAGCTTAACTCATCGGATCCCGAAGTAGTCACATAATCCGTAAACCGTCTGTGTCATTGAAGCAGCAGTAAGCATGATAATCAAGCTAATCCTAGACAACCAGGAAAGCTAAGAATAACCAGGTGAACCTAAGCTTACGCTACGTATATCCTGGCATAGCCGAGCTAAGCCACTGCAATTTTTTTACAATGAATTCGGGGTGTTTTTCGGAGCCTTCTTTAATGGTATACAAAATTCGGAGTTTGTCGGCTTCTTCGGTGGTGCGAATATAATTTAGAAAACAGCAGTTTGTGAATTTAGTAAATCAGCCTTTTCATATGCGAGACTTCGACTGTGGTCGTAAGAGAAGCTACCTCATAAGTTGCAACTAGAAAAGATGACAAACGTAAAGCTTGCTGTAAATTCCGGGGAAATATGAAGACCTGTCGGCGTTATTACTTCTGGCAGCCCCAAATATTCGGGGTTTTTCGGATAAACCCGAATCGGCAAAAGTTTAAACGGCAAGTGTTCTTCGGATTTCATAGGGTTTATTCGAAAACGCGGAGCCCTAATTATACTGTAGTGGGCTCACGCAAAATGCGGAGCTTACTGCATTCTTAACTTGGTTAAGACTGCAGTTCGAAGCCCCGAGCGCGCACTCGCTCCCTTCCGCCGAGCATTCGCTGCGCTTGCAAGCTTGTGCTTTTCTGGTGACGCAGGTCCACGAAAACAACATGCATACAAAATCAATGAAAGACGAAGTTCCCGGGGCGCGCGGGATACGCATGCCTCGAGAGTCGAGGCACAGAGAACGTATACCAGCCCCAACAGTCGGATGCGCAGTGGTGACCCGGAGGCTAGAAACCTCGCGCTGCAGGCAGACCTTGCACTGCGGTCTTCACCGGTCACTGAATATAAGTACAATAGCGCAATCTGCTGAACGTACTTGGCACGCTACACCTACGTTGATACCTGTGGGCGGCATGTTTCCGTATTTCGTTAAACTCCTACGAATCTGAAGCTCCGTTCGACTAAACATGAAAGGAACCGCGGCGCAAAAGGACACACACACAAGTAGAACAGCGACACGTGCACAGCGCTGTCTGTCCGCTACTTGCTTTCCCTGTGTCCTCTTGCGCCGTTTTTCCTTGTATGAACGGTCTTTGTCAAAAGTCCACAGCCCACCAAGCCGCTCCGGCCAGGCCGGTGAGGGCTCCGAACTTGCTACAAAGACTGTGAAGTATGCACCGACTGGCCCACCTTCAAACTTTACCACAGTTCGACTAAACATCTGTTGGACAAAGAGTCAATCATTTGCTAAAGTCCGACGGGGCGGTGTTCGCGAATATAATAGACTCGGAAACTTGATGGGACGCAAGTTCTTGAAGCGGGAATCTCTACGAAGCGTTTTATTAGAGGACAGGGTCTTCCAGTTTCACCCCATGGCATTGCTTTCAGTCACGATGGCACGCTGTGCGATTGATTGGGAGCTAGTGCGCCACTTTCCGCGAGAACACCAGTAATGCAGGCGGCTGCTACCTACGGAGAAAACTCTGCGAATGACAAGGACTAAAGTATCTAGACTTAAAAATGAATTTCCGAACGTTATACTCACATGACGTGACGTGAGCATGTAAAACGTGGTGCTCAGTTGCACCTCATTTCACATTATTTTTCCACTAT